ACCTGGGTTCGATTCCCAGCATCCCATATGGTCCCCCGAATACCAACCAGGAGTAATTCCTGAGTGTAGAGCCAGGAGTAACCCTGAGCACCTCCAGGTGTGGTAGAAAAAGTCAAAAAACAAAAAAAAAGACATGCTCAAAATGGGGGCTGGAACGCTAGATTAGCGGGTAGGGCAGTTGCCTTGCATGACCGGAGTTTGATCTCTGGCATTTCATATGGTCCCCCAGGCCCGCTAAGAGTAATTCCTGAGGGGGTGGAGCAACAGGATAGCGGGTAGGGCGTTTGCCTTGCACGTGGCAGACCCGGGTTTGATCGCTAGGATCCCACAGGTTCCCCGAGCACTGCCAGGAGTAATTTCTGAGTGCAGAGCCAGGAGTAACCCCTGAGCATCGCTGGGTGTGAACCCCCCCCAAAAAAAACGAGTAATTCCTGAGTGCAGAAATGAAGAGGCAGGAATAATCCCTGAGCAACACAAGGTGAGGTCAGCTATCTGCAAAGTATCTATCTCAACTCCTATATTAACTGCGGTTTACAGTGGCGTCAATAGTTATGGTCTTGGTGCGTACAATTTGATTTTTGTTTTGTTTTGAATTTGGGCTATATCCAGTAGTTTTCGGAAGTAGTCCGAGGGCACTCCTGACTCTGCTCAGGAGTCATTCCTGGGAGTCTGGGGACCAAGTCAGTCAGCCACGGCCAAGCAACTGTCTTGACTCTTGTTCGCTCTCTCCAGTCCCACACACCTTTATCTTTTTTTCCAGGAGTTGGAGGGTGGCTGTCACACCCAGCTCTGCTCAGGAGTGACTCCTGAATCTGCATTCAGGAATTACTCCTGGCAGTACTCTGGGGACTATATGTGATGCCAGGGATTGAACCTGGGTCAGCCACATGCACGGCAAGCACCATGCCCACTGCACTGTTGTCCTGGCCCCTCCTACACATTTTTAGTCATTTATCTGCTGTTAGACAATTGGGTTGCCTTCATATTCTGGCTACATACTTCTTATGACTACACTAAACATGCTGTGCACCTATCTTTTCTAGTTAATGCTTTTGTATCCTTGGCATTAGCGCCAAGAAGTTAAATTTCCGAGTCATAACGCAGCTATAATCTTACTTTTTTGAAAAGCCTCCAACATAGAGGCTGAACCGGATGACTTTCCCAGCAATAGGGGTGGAGAGGGCTGCTTTATCAGCACGTCCTTGCCAACACTGGTTATATCTTATCTCTGATATATGCCATTCTCACTGGTATGAGATATCTCATTGTCCTTTTGATTTACATTTCCCTGATAAAAGAGACAGTAAATACTTTTTCTTGTCTACTGGCAGTCCATATTACATTTTCTGGGTGTTTTTTTTTTTTTTTTGCCCAAACTCCATGGTGCTCAGGGCTTACTTCTGGCTCTGCACTCAGGGATCATTCCTGGAAGTGCTCAGGAGACCACATGTGGTGCCACGAATTGAACCCAGGTTGGTTATGTACAATGAGAGCATCTTATTCCCTTGTTTCTGGCCCCCATAATAAACTTCATGGTACTCTAGCGATGTAATCAAGCCAAATCATTGCAACCAGTTAGGCCAGTTGTAGTCTTTAAATGGCACATTAAAAATCATTAATGACCTTAAGTTGGCCAAGAATAAAAAACAAGATATCCAAATCAAGATCTCTTGCAATGGTGCTTTTGTAACTCAGCTGTGAATCAATTCTTTCTTCCACAGTATGAAATTCTAGACTTCGCAAACTTCTCAAAGTAGAGCAGTGGTTACTGGGGTTAGGTAAGGAAGAGGATTGAGGGGAAAGGTGCCCAGAAAACTTGAGGAGAGGAAATTATTGTCCAGAGTGATGGCACGAGGGTAGGGCTTCTGCCTTGCCTGCGGCTGACCCGGGTTTATTCCCCGGGACCCCATATGGTCCCCCAAGCACTGCCAGGAGTAATTCCTTAGTGCAGAGTCAGGAGGAACCCCGAGCATTGCTGGGCGTGACCCAAAAAGAAAAAAAAAAGACTGTATTTTAATAGTGATATAGTTTAGCTATTATGTACAAAGTTTATTGGGCAATGAGTTTTAAAATGACACATAGGGGATGAGAGCAGGCAGGGTGCCTGCCTTGCATAATCTTCTTGGTTTCTGTCCCTGGCACCCCATATGGTCCCTGGAGCCCCGGCAGGAGTGATCTCTGAGTACAGAGCCAGGAGTATGCCTTGAGTTCTGCTGGGTGTGGCCCCAAAATAAAAACAAAAAATACATGTCTAAAAATAACTTTAAATATTAAATTATATAGTACAGTATAGGGGTTGGGGCTGGAGCGATAGCACAGCGGTAGGGCGTTGCCTTGCACACAGCCAACATGGCCGACCCGAGTTCAATTCCTCCGCCCCTCCCGGAGAGCCTGGCAAGCTCCCCGTGACGTATTTGATATGCCAGACACAGTAACAACAAAGTCTCCAATGGAGACGTTACTGGGCCCGCTCGAGCAAATCGATGAACAACGGGAGGGCCTTTACCTTTACCTATAGCATATATGTAACAAAAATACATTTCCCCACCTCCATGAGGACCCCCCCATGGGCTGGAAAGACAGTATAGGGGGTGCTTACTTTACATATAGCCAACGAGTCCATCCACAGCACCACACATGGACACCTGGGAACCTTTAGGAGTGACCCCTGAGCACAGAGACAGGAGTGGCCACTGAGTACTGTTGGATGTCATCTGAACCTGGTCTCCCTGAAAGGAGGCATCACGCTGGACCAGAGAGATAGCTCAATCAGCTGGGCACAGGCTTCGTATGCAGGAGGCCAGGTTCGATCACTGGCACGAAAATGATTCCTGAACACCTCTGGAAGTGACCCCTGAAGCACAGAGAGCACATTCGCCACTGAAAGTGGCCCCCCAAGTGAAAATCCACTGCAGGCCCCAAGAAGCATCGCCTCCTTTGGCTTTTGCATGGAACCCCTAGCCCAGTTTTCAAGAATTGCTGGTGGGAACCCTGGGCTCAAAGAAAAGACCCAGCACAGAATAATTTAATCAGCAGGCAGAGACCACACATCCCTCATGGAGACTAATTGGGGTCCTGCTTCCTAGAACTTCGTGTTCCTAAGTCCTCCGCCCCCCAGTTTTGGTCTAGAAAGCCTTCCTGAGCCTTCTCTGAAAGTGGCAATCCAAATTCCATGAAAAGGTTTAACCTAAAATTCTTCTCAGCTGCCACCTCTAATGCCCACACAAAGATTAGAAGAAAAGGTAAAAAAAGAAGAAAATGGGGGGTCTGGTGCCGCCAGCAGGTCAATCTGTACCTGTGAGGTGAGTGCATCAGCAGCCTGATGGCACCGTCGGGCCTTCAGATACCCCAGAATTGCTGCTGTGCCTTTGGCCAGACCCCAAAAACTTGGGGCCAAGTTTACCAAGAAAGTAAACGGCCAAAAGTTAGGTATGTGGGAGACACACCCACAAATCACCTCTGTATAATTGGCCCAGCTGTATAATTGGAGGCAAGGCCTCTCTGGTTCCTGATCGAACTGCTTAACGGTCATGATCCCAGAGTCTCAGAAACGAATCTTGGAAACCAGCGGCTTTAGGTAGAAATGCGTCTGGTCCCTGCAGTAGGTTACTGGTGCTGGGCCAACCCAGGTGGGAATAGGTTTCGTGCCTTGGCCTGTTCCCCCTGGCGGCCCAGTGGCCGCCATCCTTCAGAAGCCACTGGATAGTCCGGTTTGGGCCCCCAGTGACGAGACACACAGGGCCTCACGGGATGCGGGTGGAGCCGGGCTTGTCCTCCCCACCCCAACGAGACCCCAAGTCATCGCCTACGAATGGCCTCTCTGGCTCCTGATCAAGCTGCTTAACTGCCTTGACCCCAGAGACTCAGAAACAAATCTCAAAACCTAGCAGCTTTTGGCAGAAATGTGTCCGGACTCTGCAGTAGATTACTGTCACCGGGCCACCCCAGGGGGGAAACGGTGCTGTCCCTCTGCCTGTTTCCCCCTGGCGGCTCAGTGGCCACCATCTTCCAGAGGCCATTGTACAGTCAAGCTTGGGCTTGCAGTGACGAAACTTGCTGGGCTTCACGGGATGGGGTGGAGCCGGGCCTGTCCTCCCCACCCCAACAAGACCCCAAGTCATCGCCCACGAACAGCCTCTCTGGCTCCTGATCAAGCAGCTCAACAGTCATGATCCCAAAGACTCAGGAGCAGATCTCGAAACCCAGTGGCTTTTGGCAGAAATCCCTCCAGATTTGTGTTAAAATTTCGAAATTTCAAAATCACATGGCCCTACTGCAGCCACGCAACATCATATGTTTTTCAAAACCAGCAATAGAACACAAATTGTCTACTGTTGCCTTTTCAGCATATCTGAGTGTTGGGATAAAATCTCAAATAATGTGTCGAAATACTGAATATGATCACAGTACAGAGAGTAATGTGGAAATCATCTGCCCCACAGGCAGGGGGAGGGTGTGGGATGGGGGCATACTGGGGTTTTTGGTGGTGGAGAATGGGCACCAGTGAAGGTCTGGGTGTTTCATTGTATGACCGAGACTTAGACCCGAAAGCTTTGTAACTGCTCTCACGGTGACTCAAATAAAATTATAAAAAATGAAAAAAAAAGAAGAAAATGACAGGAAAGATGAGGAAAGAGAAAGAAGAACCAGTGCCAGGGAGGTGGCTTCAGGGGCTGGAGCACCTGCTGTCCTCCTGCGAGCTCAGGAGCCCTGACCTGAGCAACTCACTAGTAGCTCCAAGCTCCTCACCAAATAGGGAACAACCGGGAATATGAGAACCCTAAACTTATGCAACCTCTCTCACAAGGACCAATGCTTTAGACCCCCACATTTTAATAAAACCAGGGCCAGGGAGATGGCTTAAAGTGAGGGACAGATGCTTTTGCACACAGACACACCAGCTTTGATCCCCCGTATCACCTGGTCCCTGAGCGACCTGAGTACCCAGCAGGAAGCAGCCCCACCGTTGTTCCCCAAACAGCAATGAACAAGGCAGTGTCTTCGAGTGGCCATAAGCAAACTTTAATATTCCCGACAGCAGTAGCTACCTTCTTTGTGCCAGAGTCACCAAAGAAACGTGACCAGCACATCACACACACTTGGGAGGTGGTGAGACCTATGATGCTAGGAGATAAACGGCCTGATTTGAAAGTCACAGAACTGGCAAGAGGGTTCAACAATCGCTTTGATTTTTCTTGCTCTTTTTTTTTTTTGGTTGTTGTTGTTTTAAAGCAAAACAAGTAAACAGATGATAGGCAAAATGTTTGGAGAAAGCAAACATGAGGCTCCAACTCCACGGGCTGAGGGTGATCTTCTCTCCCGCGATGCCAACGCCCATTCTCCAGCTCTTCCAGCTACACTCCCTCAGGCATACTTGCTGGTGGAACGAACAAATACACAAAAGAGAGCCCCAGGCTTGAGGCAGAGGAGCTCTTCAGCCAGATTTAGGCAGCAGTTGTTGCCAGTAACGGAATTACTTAGCTCAGGAGAACTTTCTCCATGTAAGTAAACAGATTAATAAGCGTGGGCTTAACATCTTTCCTTACTCCTTAAATTAGCTCAAGAGCCATAGGGAGAGACCAGGTAGGCTTATTCGGATCCATGGGTCTTAAGACTTACAATGCAGACAGAATTCCCCTCAAGTGGGAGAAGGGCTGAAATTGGGCTGAGCCCCGGGCTTTTGGGTGTACAGACAGTAGGTAGTGGCAGTTGCTGGTACAAAAGGAACAGAGTTTGAACAACACGAGGCCCCCAGCTGCAGCCCCGGCTCTTAGCAGCACAAGCAGTTGCACTGGTCAAATTCTTCTTTCCGATTTTTATAGCGCAGCATGAAGGCCTGCTGTCAGGCCTGTCTTCTTAAGCCCCTGATCAGGCAGGTACCCCCAGAGCAGGCTTGGAGACGGAGGCTGAGTGGGCGAGTGAGAAACCTGTTGATGTGCCACAACTGGACAGCAGGACAGAAAAACTCCGACTGCTGCTGAAAGCTACCCAGGAAAGACTTGATCGTCCGAGAGCCAGGATCCAGAGCGCATCTCCGCCACTGGTCTGTTTCTGGAGAGTCCAGGAAAACATACCTTTGGCCTTCTACAGCCGAAGGTGATGCTGTTTATTGCAGTCTGCGCATTTTACAGAAGTACATAGGCCCAAAATTGGCCGTGAGGTTTGGGATTACCAGCTCGCCAACCCGGCAGGATGGGAAGAAAGAAAACGTGTCCGTGAAAAGCTTTCGGAAGGGACTCAGGTCGGCCACCTGAACCTCGATGCTGTACTGATTGGCCAGCAGCTCGACGGCGCCTTGTACCACATACTCGTTCTGCAGGTGTGAGAGTGAGCAGGTTGAATAGACAACATGGCCTCCGGGTTTGGTGGCAAGGAGTCCAGCCCTGGAACCAGGAAGAGAAAGAAGTGGTGACTCCTGGAGCTGGAGCCATAGGACAATGGGTAGGGCGTTGGCCTTGCGTGCGGCCGACCCGGGTTCAATTCCCAGCATCCCATATGGTCCCCGGAGCAACACCAGGAGTAATTCCTGAGGGCGGAGCCAGGAGTAACCCCTATGCGTCGCCAGGTGTAACCCCCCCCCAAAAAAAAAGAAGCAGTGACTCCTGAGTTCCCAGCAGACGGGCAATAGAAGAAACTAGAAACATGAACAGGGGAGGCTACTATGGGATTGTAGCTGCAATATGCAATCTCTAACGCTCCTTCCGTACTGACACTGCCTAGAAGGTCATTCTCGAAGAAGAACCTGCCTTCCTCAGCGGGCGGAATTTTCCAAGAAGCCTTCTGGAAACAATGACCCATACTCTGACACGGACAGGGACCCAAACCCGACAGTGGCTCGGGACTGAGTCCTCAGTCCAGCATGCAGAGCCTTGATTCCAGTATCTGCTTCTCATATTCCTACTACCCGCCGACACTGGGGCTACCCTGGAGGGAATATGGCTTAAGTGAGTCTGTGCGGTTCACCCTACTAGGCATGTCCTACCAATAAATGGGACATCAAAAGCAGTGTTTCTGCCTTCTTTCTGGCCTTCTTGCCTTCCCGCGGTCCTCCTGTCCTACTAGTTGGTCCCCTGCTCTCATGCGGTGCCACGCCACCACCCCCGGGCCCCCTCTGCATGACTTCCACTCGTGGCCCTCGTGAAACATCTCGGGGGCTGAGTTGAGAAATGTGGCCCTACGGGACAATCCAGCAGGCAGATGGCCAGCCATTCTCTGAGGACGGCTGCGGCAAGGGCTTCGGTCCCCCGTTCCCCAAGCCCCTCGCGGCCCTCCTGCACAAGTCCTGAGTCGTTATGAAGCCCTCACTCACGCGAGAAGCTGCACCTGCAGCAGAGGCAACATCTGCCGCTCCTTCTTCCTCGACCTCTGAAAGATGTTGTTCTCCTCCTCGAAGAGGGAGTGCCGGTCTGTGGTACAGGGCACATCCACCAGCACCTGCCCAGAAGGGTCAAGGGCAAAGTATTAGGACTCCTCCAGGCTCCTTCCTCCAGCTTGTGTAGGTGTTCTCTCTGACCACCTACCCATTACACAGTATGTGAGGAGACTCACACTTTAACTTGATAAGCACTTGGGTGTAACCAACAACACACAAATGACTATAATTAAATGGCATCATCCTAGAAAGAAGTCTTTGGTTCCTTGGGGCTCATTCCTTGGCTTGGCCCTTGACAATTTGGTACCTATTGTTGTTCTGGTTTAACTGGTGTGTCTGGATCATCCTCTAAGTGTTTAGAGGCGACTCCAGTGGCTCTCAGGGGATCATGCAGTGCCAGGGATCAGGCCTCGAACTCCTACATGCCAAGTATATGTTCTTGTTCTCTGAGCTGGCTCTGGAACTGCAGTTAAAAAAACAAAAAACAAAAACCGGGGCTGGAGCAATAGCACAGCGGGTAGGGCATTTGCCTTGCACGCGCTGACCCGGGTTCGATTCCCAGCATCCCATAGGGTCCCCCGAGCACCGCCAGGAGTGATTCCTGAGTGCAGAGCCAGGAGTAACCTCTGAGCATCGGCTGGGTGTAACTCAAAAAGAAAAAAAAAACATAAAATGGGAGCAGGAGACTACAGGGGTTAAGGCACTGACTTGCATGCAACTAATTGTGGCTTGATCCCCACCACATGGTTCCCAAGCATTGCCATCAGTAACCCCTGAGCCCAGACTAGGAGTACCAGAAGCATGAGGTGTACCCCCTCACTGGCAAAGAAACAGGGGCCCAGAGAAATAATATAGGGGGGTTAAGGTGCTTGGCTTGGGCCAGAGAGATATAGTTTATACAAGGTTGCTTGCCTTGTATGCAACCAACCCAGACTCAATGCCTGATTCCAGCTCAATCCCTGGTACCAGATTAGGTCCCAAGCACCACCAGGAGTGATCCCTGTTCACACAGCCACAAGTAACCATTGGGTGTGGTGGCCCCAAAATCATAACCAAAAAATGCGCTTGCCTGCATACTATGCCGATCCTGGTTTAGATCCCCAGCACCATAGATGATCCCCTGAGCACTGTCAGATTCACTCCCGAGCACCTCCAGCTGTGGCCGAAGGCCCCAAAAGTGGGATGGAGAGTCAGAGCTGGGTTGTAGAGCATAAATGTTCTCTACCACTTGGGTCACATCAAGACTCCGAGAAATGGTTGATTGAGGAACCAACCACTTGAGAAATGAAACGGGTTTAACCTCCAGAGAATGCAATTTAGTGATCTCTATCAAAACTTTAAACACATATAGACCATTTTTCAGTATAATCCAAAATACAAATTAAACTTAAAAAAAAAAAAGAGAATTCCATCTCAGTCCGACCTGCTACACTATCATTCTGGCCCAATGTTGTTCCTATTTTTAAAAAACATACATGGGGCCAGAGAGATACTCTAGCAGGCAGGGCACTTGCTTTGCACACAGGTTTGATCCCTGGTACCTCAGATAGTCTCTCAAGCCCCTTTAGAAGTAATCCCTGAAGACAGTCAGGAGTAAGCCCTGAGCATCACTGGGCGTGGCCCCAAAACAAAAAGTCGCCTTGGAGAGAGAGTACAACTGGTAAGGCACTAGCCTTGCAAACAGCCGATCTGGGTCTGAATTCTGGCACCACATATAATCCCCCGAGCACCACCAGGAGTGATCCCTGAGTGCAGAACAAGAGCAGGCCCCGAGTAGAGCCAGGTCTGACGCAAAAAGCACTGATCACAGTCCTCCCGTCGTTCATCGATTTTGCTCGAGCGGGCCCAGTAACATTGTGAGACTTGTTACTGTGTTTGGCATACCGAATACGTCACGGGGAGCTTGCCAGGCTCTGCCGTACGGGTGAGATACTCTCGGTAGCTTGCCGGGCTCTCCGAGAGGGGCGGAGGAATCAAACTCGGGTCGGCCAGGTTGGCTGCGTGCAAGGCAAATGCCCGACCCGCTGTGCCATGGCTCCAGCCCACGCAAAAAGCACTGTCACTGTCACTGTCCTCCCGTTGTTCATCGATTTTTTTGAGCGGGCCCAGTAACGTCTCCACCGTGAGACTTTGTTGTTACTGTGTTTGGCATATCGAATACGTCACGGGGAGCTGGCCAGGCTTTGCCATGTGAGCGAGATACTCTCGGCAGCTTGCCAGGCTCTCCGAGAGGGGCGGAGGAATCGAACTCGGGTTGGCCGTGTTGGCCGCGTGCAAGGCAAACGCCCTACCGCTGTGCTATCGCTCCAGCCCACGCAAAAAGCAAAACAGTAAAAATAAGGGCTAGAGAGATAAAACAGTAGGTAAAGTGCTTGCCTTGCACGCAGCTGACCTGGGTTCGATCTCAAGCATCCCATATGGTCCCCTGGGCCTGCCAGTAGTAATTCCTGAGTGCGGAACCACAAGTAAGCCCTGTGCACTTCCAGATGTGGCCCAAAAACAAAAACAAAACAACAAAAATTAATTTAAAAATTGGGGCCAGAGCAATAGCACAGTTTGCAGGACATTTGTCTCACATGTGGCCAACATAGGTTTGAGCCAGGAGTAACCCCTGAGTATAATTGGGTCACTGTCACTGTCACTGTCCTTCCGTTGATCATCGATTTGCTCGAGTGGGCCCCGTAACGTCTCCACTGGAGACTTTGTTGTTACTGTGTCTGGCATATCGTATACGCCACGGGGAGCTTGCCAGGCTCTGCCGTGCGGGCGAGATACTCTCGGGAGCTTGCCGGGATCTCCGAGAGGGGCGGAGGAATCGAACTCGGGTCGGCCATGTTGGCTGCGTGCAAGGCGAACGCCCTGCCGCTGTGCTATGGCTCCAGCCCGTAACTGGGTATGACCCAACAAAGACAAAAAGAAATAAACACGGGCTGGGGCGATGGCTCAAAGAGCTCGAGTACATGCCTTCCACGCAGCTGCTCTAGGTTCAATCTCTAATTCTATGTTCACTCTGAGAATCACCAAGAGTGAGGGCCCCTGGTATACTGCCAGATGTGTATTGCTGTTCCTCCCACACAAAAATAAAATCAGCTTCTTAATATTTCGTGACAATTTTAGGGGGGCTGGGAGTTCACACCCAGCAATGCTCAAGAGTTACTCCTGGCTCTGCGCTCAGGAATCACTCCTGGCAGTGCTCAGAGAATCATATGGGATCCAGGGGATCAAACCTGGGTCTGTTCTGAGCAACTGCGTGAGTTAAAGGTCAGAGTTCAGAGGGCTGAGCACATGCTTTGTGCGCTACGGCTCTGGGTTGGATCCCCAGCACTGCACGGTCCCCTGAGCACTGCCGGAAGCATGCCCCACACAGAGCCAGGAGTCACTCTACAAGCACTGCTGAATGTGATCCAAAAATACAGAAACCTAAGTGAGTTGAGAAAACGTCCGAAAACTTATTTCCCACAGTCTTGTTCACTAACGATGACAGCAGCTGGTCATCTAAATTGAAGCGACAGCATCACAGGCTGTTTTCTCAGAATCATACATGGAAAGCCAGCGAGATCGAGACACAGCCCTACGTGCTCAAACAGAAGTTTGAGCACCCTGAGGTTCTAAATCTGGGGCTGAATTTAGGTCTAAGTTTTAAGGCTGAGAATGGGGAGATCAGATTTGACTCGCTGGATGTCTCCAGTCAAGAATGACTTACCCGGTCATAGGTGTCCCCCTCGAGTTCTCCCCACTTCCTGCCATCCCACGAAGTGACTCGAACTCGATTCCTATCCCTGAAACCTTGAGGCACATAGTTATGAAGGACCTTTTGCAGTCTGCTGGTTCGGGAAGTTGAAAGATCATTAGCAGCAAGATTGCCTGTAGGTATAAATTGTATGCATTTTAGGATTTTGTCTTTCCCCATTTATTGCATTTTCTGGCCACACCTCACAGTGCTTAGTGTCACTCCTGGTGATGCAAAGGGGAGGGACCATATGGAATACTGGGATCAAACTCAGGTCAGCTGCGTGCAAGGCAAGTACCCTACTCACTGGACTATCATTCCAGCCCAAGAACTTTGTTTTCTAATTCTATTTCTAAAAAATGGCATTGCAATTTTGACAGGAATTGTATTATAAATGGCTACAGGCCGTATAATTGTACTCTAAATGGCTGTATTAAGAAATAAACTTCGGATGGGGGGTGGGAGGGATACTGGGACCCGTGGTGGTGGGAAATGGGCACTGGTGGAGGGATGGGTATTGGGTCATTGTATCATTGAAACCCAAGCACAAAAATTTGTAAGTCTGCAACTGTACCTCATGGTGTTTCACTAATAAAAAATTTTAAAAAAAGAAATAAACTTCAGAAGGGCCAGACAAGTACATCAGGAAAGTCAATTCTCATGACTGAACTCTGAGCACAGCCAAGTGTGGCTTAAAAGAAAAACAAAACAAAAAACTTCATAGGGCCACAGTGATAGTTCAGCGGGTAGGCTGCTTGTCTTCTTTTTTCCTTTTTGTATTTTTGGGTCACACCTGCAATGCTCAGGCGTTACTCCGGAATTACCTCTGGAGGTGTTCAGGGGACCAGAGGGATGCCAGGGATTGAACCTGTGTCAGTCATGTACAAGGCAAATGCCCTACCCGCTCTGCTATCACCCCAGGCCTCTCTAGAGTGCTTGTCTTGAATGTATCCAACCTGGTTTTGATCCCCAGAACCTCATATGGTCCCCTGAGCCCTGCTAGAAGTAATCCCTGAGCACAGAGTCAGAAGTAAGCCCTTAGCTCCACCAGGTATGACCCAGAACACAAAAGCAAACTTTACCAAGGAGAACAGAGTTGATTAATCTGGGCTGGTGAATGGCTCGAGTGGCAGAACACCTTAACTGCAAGTATTAATAAGCACTGCATTGCACTGTCCTCCCGTTGTTCATCGATTTGCTCGAGCAGGCCCAGTGACATCTCCATCGTGAGATTTGCCGTTACTGTGTTTGACATATGAATACATCACGGGTAGCTTGCCAGGCTTTGCCATGCGGGCGAGATACTCTCAGTAGCTTGCTGGGCTCTCCAAGAGGGGCGGAGGAAACAAACCTGGGTAGGCCAGGCCGGCCACGTGCCAGGCAAATGCCCTAACACTGTGCTACGTAAATTTAATTGTTTAATATTTGCTAGTAGCTAGGAAAAGACAAAAAAAGCAATATAATGCTTGTCACTCCTGAGAGAATCTCTTCGTATAGCCCTGGGAGACAGAATGTCTCCTCGAATTAATTCCCCCAAGAGAACTGCCTCCATCGTTGAAATGCTTTACCTCTGTAAAAGAGCAATCATACCTACATGCAATCTTATACCTCAAACCCTTTCAGATGTTCTTTTTTTTTTTTTTTTGCTTTTTGGGTCACACCTGGCGATGCACAGGGGTTACCCCTGGCTCTGCACTCAGGAATGACTCCTGGCGGTGCTCGGGGAACCATATAGGATGCTGGGAATCAAACCTGGGTCGGCCGCATGCCAGGCAAACGCCCTAACCGCTAGGCTATCGCTCCAGCCCCACTATAAGTATGCTTTTGCGGGAGGACACCCAGTTGTGTCAGGGCTTACACCTGGCCCTGTGCTCAGGGAAGCCCTGTACTCTCTTTCTGATCCAATAAAAAAATTACTATTGCATGATTTCAGCAGTGCTGGGAATGAGAGGCATACAGTAAGAGGGGCTCAACCCGGGGCCTTGCACGTGCAAGGAAGGAAGGTGTTCTACCACTTGATCTATTCACCAGCCCAGTTTCGCCAACTTTTCTTCTCTAAGGCAACTGATCTATTACACGTAAGTAAACTCATTCTGATCTGCCCTCTATATGCCCTTTTCCCTTTGCGACAAGGCATGGACTCGAGAGGGGCCAGAGTAATGGCACAGCAGGTAGGATGCTGCATGCAGCTGACCCAGGTTCTGTCCCTGACTCCCCATATTGCCCCAAGCCAACCAGGAGTGATCCCTCGAGCACAAAGCCAGGAGTAAGCCCTGGGCAACACTGGGTGTGGCCCCAAAATAAAACAAAACAAGGGGCTGGAGCAATAATATGGTGTACAGTATGGTATCTAGTATGCCTTGCAAGCGGCCGACCCAGGTTCAATCCCCAGCATCCCACATGGTCCCAAGCAACGCCAGGAGTAATTCATGAGTGCAGAGCCAGGAGGAACCCCTGAGCTTCACTGGGTGTGACCCATAAAGCCAAAAAAAACTAAAAAAAAAACAAAAACAAAAAATAAAAATTTCTGGAGCTGGAAAGATAGTACAGGAGATAGGGTGCTTGTCTTGCACGTGGCCAACCTAAGTTTGATCCCCAGCGCGCTAGTCTCCTGAGCACCTCCAGGAGTAATTCCCGAGTGCAGAGCCAGGAGTAAGCCCTGAGAATTCTTAGGTGTGGCCCAAAATTAAAAAAAAATAAATAAAAAAATATATATATATATATGTTCAAGAAGTATCCTGCTTTGCTCTACTGTAAGAAAAAAATCACTGCAAGACGGATGACAAATGGCTCAGAATGCCTGTCTTGCAATTACATGCTCACAAGTTCAAATCCCTGGTGTTACACACATACTGAGCCTGACCCTGGCAGATGTGCTGTGAACCCCAGAACCACAAGATATTTCCAGTTGTCCAGCATCCAGGTATGTGTAAACACCATAAACAGGTGAAGTGCGACCCCATTAGTACCCCAACTAAAAGTAAGTGAGCACCAAAGCTAGGAAGTGACCACAGCCCTCAGGAGCACCACACCCATAACACTTGCAAATCCCACTGAAAGAGTGCAACCCTACAACTGACCCTTTCATCCACCCATGGGAATCCATAGTGTGTGTGTGTGTGTGTGTGTGTGTGTGTGTGTGTGTGTGTGCTGGAGATCAAACCCAGCATCTCACGCACGCAAGGCAAAGTATCTATTGCTGAGCTCCCTCCCTGACTCAGGAATTCAGAATCCTGGAGAGAGACAGCTCTGATGCCAGGTTAATGTGCTCACACTCGCAAGGTCAACGCAACTGACTGGAGACAGACATCTCTTTTCAACTGGCCAGAGTGTGACAAGGCAAAATTTCAGAAGATGGCACACTTGAGCAGAGCGCTTCACTGCACGAATAGCCAGTTGACCCCTAGTGTAGTGCTAGGAGCCCCAGTTATGAAATTTTCACCTACAGCCCCCTAGGAATATTCGAGGGGTGGGGAGGGGGGCGAAAGGGGCCATCTGGCCTCCAGCCGAGAAACACGATTTTAGAGAGAAAAGGTGACATGAGTGGGACGGGAAAATACAGTGGATGCTCTGCAAGTGGAGGTCCAGGTTTGATCTCTGGAACAGCATATGCCCCAAGAACTGAGTCCCATGCTGAACATGGCCCCAAAACTGAAAAAAAGGAAAGAGGAAGGAGGAAGAAGGAGGAGAAAGAAGGAGGAAGAAGGAAGAAGGGAGCAGAAGCAGCAGCAGCACCAAAGACAAAAGGTTATTCGGGCAAAAGAAAGCCGTGGGAGGCAGTTGAAGAACATTAGGCCCCAGGAAGAATTCCAGAAAGCCGCGTCTATGCACAACTTAGGGAGTGAGTGTGGTCAAGCAGAGCTCCTAACCATCCGGAGAAGGAAAAGGATCTAAGTTTTCCAAAGAGTAAAGGGCCAGAGAAACAGCACAGCAGGTTTGGGTTCAATCCCCAATACCACATACGGTCCATGAGCCCAGGCAGGCTCTGATCCCAGAGCACCGCTGAGCTGGCTGGAAAACCAAAAAGGAATAACGGATGTGGAGAAGTAATTTGTAGCCCGATCAGAGTCCTGATAAATGTGCCCTCGGAGACCTGGATCTGCTGAGAACCATTTCAGGTCAGCTGACAGAGAAAGGAAAAAATCCTCACACAGAAAAACACCCTCGCGTTCACTGGTGGTGGGTTTGGAGTCAGAACACTGAATGCCTTAAACTGGTATTAAAATCTTTGACCATACGGGATGGGCTGGAGCCATAGCACAGCAGGTAGGGCATTTGCCTTGCATGCGGCTGACCCGGGTTTGATTCCCAGCATCCCATATGGTCCCCTGAGCACCGCCAGGAGTAACTCCTGAGTGCAGAGCCAGGAGTAACCCCTGTGCATCGCCGGGTGTGACCCAAAAAGCAAGGAAAAAAAAAATCTTTGAGAATTATGGTACCTGAATAAAAAATAAATAAAAAGGGAGAAAATACTAGTAGATCAGTAGGCAAGCACAAACTCCCTCCCTCCAACTTTTTGTTTGTTTGCTTGCTTTTTGGGTCACACCCAGAGAAGCTCAAGGGTTATTCTTGGCTCTGCACTCAGGAATTACTCCTGGCGGTACTTAGGGGACCATGCAGGATGCCGGGGATCGAACCCAGGTCAGCCTCGTACAAGGCAAATGCCCTCCCCGCTGTACTGTCGCTCCAGCACCTTCCCTCGACTCTGGGACCTCGCACTCCTCACTCAGGGTGGTGAGGTAAAGCCCCTCCCTTACCCACGACGCCTCGGACTTACGGCAACAACCAGTCTGAAGCAATGCCAGCGTCTTCCCTCCAGGCGCTGCACATAGGTCAAGCACAGTGTCACCGGGCTGGAGGTCGAGAGCCAGGACAGGCAGCAAGGAGGCGGCGTCCATCAGGTAGTAGTCCATGACACCCAGGCTGCCAAGCCTAGAGGAAAGAAGATCGCCTTTGAGTCGAACTCTAGACCAGGAGACCCAGGAAAGTCCGTGCCTTGAGGGGCTACTCGGTAAAAGTTCGCCTCTGGCTCACAGATTTTTCACTTACCCATTCACTGCCAATGCGGCCAGAGCAACAGCTTTGTCTGTGGGCCACACCCAGCGGTACTCACTACTGGCTCTGCGCTCAGATCACTCTTGGTGGGCATCAGAGGACCATGTGGGGTGTCAAGGATCAAACCTGAGTCGGCTGTATTCGAAGTAAGTGCCCTGCCCGCTGTACTATCGTTCCGGTCATGACGTTAGCCATTTGGATCATTAATCAAGCCACACAGACTCCTGTCTCCAGCTTTTTGTAGCTGCTTTACCGTCTGCCCCCAAAGTCCTCATTAACTCCCTCCCTTCAGGTCTCAAAGTTATTTCATCAGAGAGGGGCTGCGGTTCTTCTCTCTCTTAAAACGGGGGCCCTTTACTCCGATCACCGAGCTTGCAATATTCTTATTTTTGGCTTTAGGGTCACATACAGCAGTGCTCTGGGATTGTTCCTGGCAGTACTGAGGGGACCTTGCAAAACTGGAGATTGAAAACCCTGGAATTCGAGGCTGGAGCAGTAGCACCAAAGGTAGGGCGTTAGCTTTGCATGCAGTCAACCCGGGTTCGATTCCCGGCATCCTATATGGTCCCCCAAGCACCGCCAGGAGTAACTCCTGAGTGCATGAGCCAGGAGTAACCCCTGTGCATCGCCAGGTATGACCCAAAAAGAAAAAAAAAACCCTGGCATGCTTGCATGCCCCTCAAAGCACCCTTAAGCTATCTCTGAGCCCCAAACTAAGGAATTAAAAGACATGGTTTCATAGTATTTTAGAATTTAGTGTTTTACTAATGAGGTTGGATGTTAATCAGGTTTTTATTCCTTCATAAATAATCACCAAGTTTTTATTCCTTCATAATAATCACTTTTAATTTTTTTTTTCTTTTTGGGTCACACTTGGTGATGCACAAGGATTACTTCTGGCTCATGCACTCAGGAATTACTCCTGATGGTGCTCCAGAGACCATATGGGATGCTGGGAATTGAACACTGGTGGCCGCATGCAAGGCAAATGCCCTACCCACTATGCTATCACTCCAGCCCTGAGGGGTTTTTTTTTTTTTTTTGGTGTTAGGGATTAAACACTGGAAGGCAAGAGCTTTTATCAATGACTCACATTCCCAGCATTTTTAAAGAGCTTTGTAGGTTTTGTGTGTGTGTGGAGGATGATGGTTTTCTAAGTTTGAATTCTTTGTTTTTTTGTGTCACACCTGTAGATGCTTAGGACTCACTCCTGGTCTGCACTCAGGAATCACTTCTGACAGTTCTCAGGGACCTTACTGGACCCATGGGATTGAACCCAGGTTGACCATGTGCAAGGCAAGCTGTACTATCGCTCTAGCCCACTGGGTTTGAATTTCTAAAAATTCACCAGATTTCACCACTTGTGTGGATCTCTTTCTCACTTACTTTGCTGAGCAGTGAATCATTCAAAGAGTGGCGAGCTCTTTAAACAGGCATCTCAACTCCTGCACTATCTCTCCGGCCCAGACTTCCTTGTCTTTCTCATCACATCACCGTATGATCTGCTGTCCTAGTCATGTCTTAAATCTGTTCACTGAGTTTGATTATTTTAGCAATCCCCATATTCTTAATTTCCAGCAACTTTCCTTCTGTGTTTCCTTTATTATTTTTAATTCATTTTTGCTTTTTGTGTCACACCCAGCGATACACAGGGGTTACTCCTGGCTCATGCACTCAGGAATTACCCCAGGTGGTACTCAGGGGACCCTCAAGTGATGCTGGGACTCAACCCAGGTTGGCCACATGCAAGGCAAATGCCTACCCGCTGTGCTATTGTTCCAACCCCCTGCGTGTCCTTTAAATGAGACACACTTAGGCCAGAGATACAGCTTAAGGAGTTGGAGTACATGCTTTGTATGCAAGATACCTCACAGGGTTCCCTGAGCACGCAGGCATGCCACCCCCGCCCCCCAGCACTGACCTGGGAGTAGATTTTAAGGACCAGCCCCTCCTACAAAAAGTATAACTTTTGAGATCCAGACAACCATTAGCAGTGCTGGGGTGGGAACGAGTGGTGTCAGAAATCTATCGCATGTCAGACATGTGTTCCCCCGGCCCCCCACATGGAACCATCTCCCCAGCCCCTCCATTTCTTAATTTTTAATGCACAGTTTAGCGTTTGAAAGTCCAGTTCACATATATCTGGTCATTGGATCAGAAGACCAAATGTTCTTTCTTTTTCCTGGTCTGGTACTAACTCTGAAAGGTCCCAAGGCAAGCCCCATTTTTTGGGTCACACCCAGCAATGCTCAGGAGTTAGTGCTTGGGGAACCATATGAGATGCTGGGGACTGAACCCGGGTCGGCTGCATGCAAGGCAAACGCCTTCCCCGCTGTGCTATCGCTCCAGCAACAAGCGCCATTTCTTAGGCAAGTGTCCCTTCTTATTCTTGGTTTTGGGGCCAAACCTAGCTGTAAATTGTTTCCTATAGCAAAGCAGGGTGAAAATGAAAGTTCCGGAGTAAGACTGCCTGGGTCTAAAGACTCTCCCACTTACTCTCCATAGAGGAAGGCAAGAAATTGCCCTTAGGGGGCTCTTTGCAGAACAAAGGTGATCACACACAGCACTTAGAAAAATGCCTAACATGCTAACACAGGCCGGAGTGATAAGAGAGCATGTAGGGTATTTGCCTTGCATGCGGCCAATCTGGGTTCTATCCCCAGCATCCATATGATCCTGAGAGCTGGGCTGGAGCGATAATACAGCAGGGAGGGCATTTGCCTTGCATGCGGCGAACCCAGGGTTCAGTCCCCAGCATCTCATATGGTCCCCTGAGCATTGCCAGGAGTAATTCCTGAGTGCAGAGCCAGGAGTAACCCCTGAGCAATGCCTAGTGTGACCCACCCTCCCCAAAAAAAAAAAAATGACCCTGAGAGCACCTCCAAGAGTAATTCTTGAGTACAGAGCCAGGAGTAACCCTGAGCATCGCTGGGTGTGGCCCTAACACAAACAGAACAAAACAAAAGCCTAACGTGTAAGATATCAGTAAATATTAACAACACTGATATCTATTAAACAGAGCAGAGGTGTGGTTTTTTTTTTTCCCTTTCTGCTGCAACAGACCCTCAAAACACCCACCCATGACACGACCAAATCCTACCTGGCATGAGGGAATCGGCTGACATCTCCTCTGGCAAAAGTGAAGCATCGAAGGTTTGGGCTGCAGCCCCTCGAAGTGGAGGATGGCGCTTCCGTGTGCCCCGCCTCGGGCTCCGGGGCCCCACGGGCCACGGCCTCACTCACAAAGTCCCTGGCATTCAGCCGCTCCAGTTCAGCGCTCACGTGATCCCAGGCGGCAAAGTTATTGAGCAGGGCGCCGTACTTCTGCTCGGAGAGAAGACTGACTCGGATCGATGGCCACAGATCTCCAAACTGCACGCTGTACGTCACGTCAAAGCTCTGCAGAGCCAGCTGAGTGGCAGGAAACTTGGGCTCGGTGGCAGCCTGCAATGGAAAGAACAGACCTCGGTTTCCAGGACCCGATGCCACCACACTCTCGGGAGCCCTGTGGCGAATGTGGATTTGGTTAGTGCCCACCTTTGCCGCCTTGGCCTCCTGTCTGTACCTGCCGTCTAGTGTGGGAAAAAAGCATCGGTGAGCAATGGACCTTTCTGTCTCGGGGTCGTAAGACAAAGGAGCCGGAGCTCTTCAGCACAACGCGGGCTCACCTGCCAGCATCGCAAGAAAGAGGAAACCCCTGGAGGAGGAATTTAAGAGAACAGTTGTTCAGGAGAGGACTCCTGGACCTGCGGAGGCTGGACAAACACCGGAGTGCCAGGAGGGATGAACAAGTCCTTCCATTTTGAAAAGCATTTTTAGGACTCTGATTATGTAAGCGTAACAGATATACTCAAGGATGGATACAAAGAAATTCCAACCTACCACATCTTTTTTTTTTGGGGGGGGGCAGGGGGGAGGTGTTGGATCAGACCCAGCAGTGTTCAGAGCTTACTCTTAAGTCTTTATCTGGGGCTCACACCTGACTGGGTTCAGGGAATCGTATGTGATGCCAATGATCAAATTCAGGTTGGCTGCGTGCAAGGCAATCACGCTGACTACTGTGTTCTCTCTCCAGCCCCTACATCTGGTGGGATGAGGGTCACTCACCAAAGGACGCTACTCGGCACCGTGTGGAGTGACTCAGGGTGAGTTCCAAGTTCCCTGAAGGCGGGGAAAAGGAGCTTGTAGAACCTCAAAACCAAAATGCAAAACTTCTAGGATGGAATTTTTTTTTTTTTTAACTATACGGGAGCAGCAGAGAGGAGCACGAGTCAGGCTTGAAGAGCAAAAACGTAAACTAAGCCAAATTTGAAGACCTCTGCTTTGGAGTCCCAAGTTGGTCCTGGTGCTACTGTGGTTTGCTTCCTTGACAGCTACTGTTACTACTACTGTTGATGAATTTTGTTCTGGAGTTTTGGTCTGGTCAGAACTGTTGCTCTGGTCCTCACTTCTTGTTTTTGGGACTCTTGCTCCGGGCATTGCCTCTGGCCCGCTGGGGACTCTTGCTTGGACTCCTGCCCTGGGAAGTACCCGTGTTCTTGCAATGTTTTTTGCCATTTCTGAAATTCCTGCTTTGGCTCCCACTTTCGTTACAGTGCGAACCTTTGTCTTTGCCATACTGAAAATTCTGATCCTTACTGCCAGTAAGATTCTCATTCTGATCCTGGTTCAGGCTTTCTTGGGAATTACTGCTATGGCTCCGGCTTCTGACTGGATGGGGGTTGTTCTGGTTCGCATTCCTGCTGAACCGGAGGTCCTTTTGACTGTGACTTCGGCAAAGGAGGTTGGGATCTTCATCCTGGCCCATGCCTTTGTCTTGGTTGCTGCTCTGGCTGTCAGTGTCTTGGCAGTCACTGACAACAACGGTTGTGCTGCAGCTGGGAATGGTGCAGTTGGATCTCAGGGGCGAAGGCAGAGGGCAGCTGTAGGGGACCTGAGGGGGCTCTTTAGGGGAGCCCCGGGGAGCCACAGAGTAGACGTGAAAGCCACAGGGCATAGAGTCAGGCTGGATCCGGGTTCGGGAGGAAATCGGTAAGCACTGAGGGTCAAAGGGTGTTCTCAAAGGAATAAAAGAATAGATGTGGGTGGTACATGGAGGACCCAGAGTCGGGCGATACGACTGGGGCGGGTCTCTGGGAGTACAAGACGTGCCACAAGGGGGCACTATGGGCTGACACGGAGGTGGGCACAGGGGAACCTGGCACACGGGAGTCGGACATGCAGAGGGTGAGCATAAAGGAGTTGGGCATACAGGAGTTGGGCATACAGGAGGTGGGCATACAGGAGGTGGGCATACAGGAGTTGGGCATACAGGAGTTGGGCATACAGGAGGTGGACATACAGGAGGTGGGCATACAGGAGGTGGGCATACAGGAGGTGGACATACAGGAGGTGGGCATACAGGAGGTGGGCACACAGGTGGTGAGCATACAGGAGGTGGGCATATAGGAGGTGGGCATATAGGAGTTGGGCAGACAGGAGCTGGGCATATAGAAGGTGGGCAGACAGGAGCTGGGCATACAGGAGTTGGGCAGATAGAAGGAGAGCATATGGGCGCTGGGCAGATGGCCTGATCGAGAGAACAAGGAAGTGGGCAGGGAATAGCGGAGGGGGGAACCATCGAATAGATACGGGTGGCTTCTCTGGGGCTTCCCTGGGGGTTGCAAGGAGCGTAAGTGATGGGCATGACAGGCTCACAAGGAATGCAGAGGGGAAGGGACGTGGGGGTGGGGATGACAGTTTTGAGGGTCCTAGAGACCACGGAAGGCAAGGTAGGCTCTTGGAGACATTCTTCGGGGCAGGGACTTGAGCAAGTTGTGACGGCTGCCACCGTACAAGAACCAGGGGGATTGGAGGGACGTGAGGGGGAGGCACTGGCAGCAGAGGGCTTGGGCTCTTCCGTACTGTGTACAATAGTGGTGACCAGGGAGCGACACTTTTGGGGAGCACGCGACTGCTTTGACTCGGACTTGGGGCACTTCATTTGGGTGCAAACTGAGATAGGAAGAGGGGGATCATGATAGCTTCTGCAGGGAGGTGAGAGGGGTGGAGACACAAGCGGGGCGCACAAGGGCGAGGGGAAGATGGCAGGATAAGGACAGGGAGAGCAGAGAGTCAGGGGGGGCTCCGGAGGGCAGGGGGGGCAGGGGGGACAGGGGGGACAGGCGATCGTGTCAGCTGGGTTCACAAAGATGTAGGAGTTCCCAGCGGTCTCCCAGGAGAAGAGGGACTCGAAGACGGACTTCCTGGGCTCCGGGGACTCGGGCGGGCAAGGAGGGAGGAGGATGGCACAACACGGGTTCTCGGGCGCGGGCGCGAGGGCCTCCAGGGAGCACCCCGGGGCCAGGAGGGAGCAGTGGCAGGCACCCTCCTGGGGACAGCCGGCGCAGGGGGCCAGGCAGGCCTGGGGAAGCAGGGCGTCGCAGCAGCCCTTCCCGGGCGGAAAGTCACCCTGCGGCTTGGGCTTGCAGGCGTCCGGGGCCCTGAAGGGGCCGGGGTAGAAGGCGTCGCCGGGCGGGGCGGGGGCGGGGGCCAGGGGCAGCTCGGCGCAGCACCTCCCCGCGGGCCAGGGGGCGAACCGCGGGGGGTTCCTGGGCGCGCCCTCCGGGACCCGCTGGGAAAGGGCGGGCGGGACCGCGGGCCGGTGCGCCAGGAGCGGGGACAGGAGGCCGGTGGCCGAGGGCCCGTGAGCCGCAGGGGCCGGGACCAGGGGGCACGCGCCCAGGGGCCCCAGGGGGGCGGGGGGCGCGCTGGCGGGGTCGGCCGCCTTGGGGGGCGCAGGGGCGAGCAGGGGCGCGGCCAGGAGCTCGGCGGGATGCTGCGGGGGCGCCCCCGGGAGCCGGTGGCCGAGCGTGGGGGAGGCGGCCGGGCTGGCCGCCGCGGACGGGGGGTAGCAGCAGTAGAAGTAGGGGGGCGGGTCGAGGGTGCGCGCCGCCCTCGGGGGGCCGACCCAGGCGCAGTAGGTGCTCCGGGAGCGGACGGGCGCCAGCTCCAGGAGGTCGGCCGGCTCGCAGCAGGGGCTGGGCGGGGGCGAGCTCAGCGGCATGGGGGCCCGGGCGCGGGGGTCCTGCGGGGGCGGCGGGGAGGCCGGCGGGGACGGCGAGGCGGCGGGCGAGCCCGGGCAGGCCTCGGGGTGGCCGCGGCGGGGGTCCCGGGGGACGAGGGGCGAGCCCGGGGGGCGCGGGGCGGCGGGGGTCCCTGCGGAGCGCGCTGGGGGAGGCGCGGGGGCTCTCGGCGGCGGGGTGGTCGCTGCAGCCGCTCCCGGGCGCCAGGGGCAGCTCGAGGGCCAGGAAGGCGCCGAGGCCTTTGCCGGGGAGCAGCGGGGACCCGGGCAGGAGGGAGACCCCGGCGCAGCCGTCGAAGGGGGGGGGCGCGGGGGGCGGCGAGGTCGAAGAGGAAGGGGGGGGAAGAGGTCATGGGGGGCGGGAGGAGAGGCGGAGGCCGGGGAGGGCGAGGAGGGGAGGGGAGGGAGGAGGGGGCGGGAGGCCGGCGGCGGCGGCGGCGGCGCGGCCCCGGGGCGGGTAACCGGGAGCCCGGGGGGCCGCGCGGCCGTGACGTCACAGAGGAGCGGGGGCGGGGCTGCAGGGCGGCGGGGGCGGGGCCAGGCGGCCGCTGGCCTATGAGGAGGGCCGATGGCGCGTGACGCACGGGAGGGGCGGGGCCCGCGCGCGACGCGCCGGAAGGGGCGGGGCCCGCGCGCTCCGCCAGGGCCGGGGGTCGGGCCGGCCGGAGGAGTGTGTGTGTGTCCCCCACGCGGGGCAGCGGCGGGCCGAGGCCGCCCTCCCGGGTCCCGCCCTGCCCCCCGGCGGCGCCTTACCCATTTCTTCTTGTGTCGCCACCTCCGCGGGGTCGCCGCCGCGTCCGCGCACCGCAGCAGGCCCCGCGCGCCCCTCCGCACCAGCGCGGCCATGTCCGGGTGCGCCGCCGGGTCCCTCCGGCCGGAAACGCAGCGCGGGGCGCGTCGGTTCCGGGTGCTGCGCGGGGAGGACGGGGCCGCTGCACCGCTGCACCGCTGCACGCCCGTCCCGCGCGGCTGGAGCCCGTCGAGGGCTGCGGCCAGGGGGAGGCCAAGGGCCGCCGGCCGCCCTCTGGACGGCGGCCCGGGCGCAGCTGGAGCTTGGAGGAGTCCGAGGAGGTCGCTCACCTTGGGGGGCCTTAGGAGGGTTGGGGTCTGCCGGCTCAGGAGGGAGCACGGTGGGCCGAGTTGCCTTGCACGTGGCCAACGCGGATCTGAGTTCCTGCACCCCGTAGATCATCCCCCCACTGCCTTTCCAGGGCTCGCCAGAGTGGTCCCTGAGCACCACCACCAGCCATGACCACCCACCCTGTACACACCCCCCACCCTGCCAAAAATCAGGACCACGACCATCTTGTTATTCATCGATTGCCTCGAGCAGGCCCCTGAGATTTTTTAAGAAGTGCCATATTCAAGGCCCTTTCAGGGTTAGGAGAATGAGACCCATCATTGCTACTGGTATTAGGCATACTGGGTACGCCACAGGGAGTTTGCCAGACTCTGCCATGTGGGCAGGTGACATTTGGTAGCCTGCCAGGTTGTCCAGAGTAGGAATGAGATAATAAGATGTCTCATCTTCCGGGAGCTGGTTTTTATAGTCTCTGGGTCTTGGCCGTTGATGGATTACACGGCACCAGGGGGCCAGTTGGTGGGTTGACCCCCGCCTACTGGAAGGTGGAGGATCTGGGTAGAGGATGCTCAGCCCCGATCCAAGTAGGCTTGGAGATCTCGGCCCCGGGACCCGCGTGGCTTTGTTCCTCTGCCGGTACCTTCATGTGTGCGGAGAGTGGTCTCGGCATGGTGGTGGCTGAGATGATAAAATAAAAATAAAAAATCAGCGAAGCGAAGAAAAGGGAGGGGCCTTGAAAACCACTCCAGGAGAGGAAAGTGTAGACTGGCAGGCAAAGACAGATTCTAGTGAAGTGACGGACTCTGTTTCAGGACCTCGCCTTTGTACCCCCCCCCCCCCCAAGACCTGTGCTGGTTGATATACACAGAGGTGCTGCAGCTTCTCTCAGCTCTGTGCTGGGGTCGTAGAATCTCCTGTGTGTAAAGCACCTGCCCAGTACTCGGAGCTACCTCTCCCGCCATATTTTTTTAATTATTATTTTTTTTATTATTAGTGAAGCACCATGAGGTACAGTTGTAGATTTACAAATTTTTGTGCTTGGGTTTCAGTTATACAATGATCAGATATCCATCCCTCCACCAGTGCCCATTTCCCACCACTACGGATCCCAATATCCTTCCCACCCCCCATCCCCCCATCCCACCCTGTCTCTGTGGCAGGGCATTCCCCTCTGTTCTCTCTCTCCTTTTGGGTGTTGTGGTTTGCAAGAGAGGCGTTGAGTGGCAATCATGTTCGGTCTAGAGTCTACTTTCAGTATGCTTCTTCCATCCTGGGAGGATCCTCCCAACACCCGTTATTTGTCACACCACTGCTTTTTTCTTTTAATTTTTATTGGTGAGACATCATGAGGTACAGTTGTAGACTTACAGATTTTTGTGCTTGGGTTTGATTATACAATGATCAGATACCCATCCCTCCACCGGTGCCCATTTCCCACCACCATGGATAATATCCCCCCACCCCCATCCCCCCCATCCCACCCTGCCTCTGTGGCAGGGCAATCCCTTGTGTTCTCTCTCTTCTTTTGGGTGTTGTGGTCTGCAAAAGAGGCTCTGAGTGGCGAACATGTCCAGTCCATAGTCTACTTTCGACATGCATCTCCCCTCCTGGGAGGATCCTCCAAACACTCTTTATTTGGTGCTCCCTTCTCTATCTGAACTGCCCTTTCCTCTAGGATACTCGGCTGGCCTCTAAGTTATGGAGTAATCCTCCTGGTGCTGATCTCAGCTATTCTTGGGTATTAATCTCATACTTTGTTACTTTATATCCCCCAGATGAATGCAATCTTTCTATGTCTATCCCTCTCTTTCTGACTCATTTCGCTTAGCATGATACTTTCCATGTTGTACCACTTGTATGTAAATTTCATGACTTCATCTTTCCTAACAGCTGCATAGTACTCCAAGGTATAGGTGTACCAAAGTTTCTTTAATCATTCATCTATTCTTGGGCACTCAGGTTTTTTTCAGATTCTGGCTATTGTGAACAGTGCTGCAATGAACAAACAAGTGCAGATGTCACTTCGACTATACATTTTTGCCTCTCTGGGATATATTCCCAGGAGTGGTATTGCTGGGTCAAATGGGAGCTCAATTTCTAATTTTTTGAGCATTGTCCATACTGTTTTCCAGAAGGGCTGAACCAGTCGACATTCCACCAACAATGAAGGAGTGTCCCTTTCTCGCCACATCCGCGCCAGCATCGGTTGCTTTTGTTCTTTTGGATGTGGGCCAGTCTCTGAGGTGTGAGATGGTATCCCTCCGTATTTTTAAGCTCTTTTTAGGAGGGGCCTCCACTAGAACAGCAGGCAGCGTGCGTGACTTGCACGGAGCCAACCGAGGTTTGATCCCGGCTGCTAGGTGTGGCCCAAAAAGAAGAAATAAATCAAACGGAGGGGGCCTCCTGAATAGTGTGACCATTCAGGAAGCCCCAGACCACTCCCTCTTAGTGTGTGATCACAAAATAAATAACTCATCGGGGGTGGGCTGGCATTGTGGTCTCTCTTGCCCGCCATGTGCGTTTGGTGGCCATGAGCTGCTTCCCGCACCAGGACTGCCACCAATAGATGCAGGAAGGAGAGGACGGGGCTGCCAGGCTAGTTGGTGGTCAGTTGCTGTTTATTCCATTCTCACAGCACCTGTTTCAGCCTCACTGGGCGCCCCATTCCAGTCTCGCACTGACCCTCATTCCCAGCTCCTCTCCGTGCTCCATCTCACAGTCTTGGTCCCGTGCCCCACTGTTGAGTACAAGGAGCTTAGGTTTATCAGGTTGCACCCCTCACAGTGCCCCCGAGTCACTCCCATTACTTTGTTTATCTGTGACCACTTCTGTGCTCTCTTCCCCAACCAATTTGTAAGGTCTCATCCTTTTAGGGCGCTGAACTTGTACTGTAAGTTAATATTGCCTTTCTCCTCTCCTTGTGTCTCTTGAATAGTTTAATGCCATATCCTTTTTGTATAGATACAGCAAGACAATTAATTAATATGCTTTGTAATTTAAGAGTTGATTGGCCTTCAATATCATTCACTCCCGGGCATCTGCTTTCTCAACTCAAGCCTCAGTTGCCCTCACTTCCTAGCACTCCAAGGGCAGGGTCCCGACGTGGGACTGGATGGAACCAGGGCAAGCCGGTAAGTTATATGCTACCCTGGCATTGCGATGGGCCAGGCCAAGGTGCCACAATTCTTAACTATAGGTTAAGAGTTTGATCATAGGCAAATGCTGTCATGATCAAAAGTAACGACGAGACTAGGACCCTGCTGCTAAGAATAGGAAAGGTGTCTGGCCTGAGCACTGCAGTCTGAGATCGAGATGGCCCTAGGGGAGCAATTCTATAAGCTTAAGGTATTTCTTACTGTATCCATACAAAATGACTTATATATGCTTATACGTTGATCAGACAAGGAGAAGAGAAACACATCCAGGGAATTCTGTTCTAGTGTGAGTTGATCTGCTATATGAGAATCTGTCCTAGAAGCAGCCTTCCCATGTGTCCTGACTAGCTTGGATGAGACTGAACATTTCTCCCCTTCATCTGCCTTCAGTGAGCAAGAGGCAGCCTCCCTTATCTCACAGAAACCTTACTGTCAGAGGCAGGCTGGTCATTGAGATGTAGATCCCAAGCTCTAGCAGGCTGGGCTCTGATATGTTCTCCAAGTGCTTGCAGCTTGTGTAAGGTGAGGCCAAGATTACTGGCCTGCAGATGTATAGAAGCGATGTATGTTCTGCCATCTCCTTGTCCTTTCTGTAACTCTTTTTGATGACATCATTGTATTGCGCCCTTTAGAGGTACCATGATCTATATAAGGGAGATTTCAGGGCTCTCGGGAGAACACGTGCCTTAGAGAACCTGGGAGCACGTGGCCGAGAGAACCAGAGAGCACGTGCTCGAGAGATCCTGGGGCCTCTATGACATACACTTCTTCCATGTAATAAACTGCTGCTAGACCAACCAGCCTGGCCCTCGTTTCCTTCCTTCGCCTGACCATCGCCATCGACCCCCCTGGAGTGGGGAAACGGCCTGAGACGACCGAACGCAGGCGGCGGGAGAGATAGGCCGCTGCCACCCCCTTTGCCCGTTCTTTTGTGTGTGCTTACACATCCCACCTCCACGCATTGGGGGTAGTGGCTACATCAGGTCCAGTAGCACAATCAACATATGAAAGCCCTCCCAAGGGAAGCTCTCCTAAGACAAAGATCTGTAGCTAGAGGTCTGCTGAGTGCATACCACCTAGGCAGGTGTGTGTCTCCTCTCCTTAGTCCAATAACCATTTAAACATTCATCTTAATTCTACTTCTTAATATGAATTATTTGGTATGGACACGAGGGATACATTAAGCTTGTAGGGTGGCTCTCCTGGGGACATCTCGCTATAAATCCCAGGCTACAGTGCTCAGGCCAGATTAGTCTTTCCTAACCCTAGCAGGGTCCTAATCCAGTTGTTACTCTTTGGATCATGACAGAATTTGGCCATGACCGTGCTCCTGATTTATAGTTAAGTATTATGGCTCTTGGCCTGGCCCATTTCGATGCCAGGGTAGCTCATGGCTTGCCCTGGGTCGATCCCATCCCTCCTTGGGACCCTGCTTTTGAGGTGCTAGGACTTAAGGACAACTGAGGCTGAAGTCAAGAAAACAGAGGCCCAGGAGTGAATATTATTCAGAGCGAATTAACTCCCAAGTTACAAAAGCATGGCATTAACTGTCTTCTTGTGTCTATACAACAAGGATATTACTCTGAAGCAGACTATGCAAAAGGACATAAG